CGCGATACATTTGTTTACAAAATGTACGAATCTTATTAACGCATTGTGTATGGGTTAATTCTTAGAAAACTGATACCGATGATTTTCACTGAGATCAACTTCCACGACTGTATCTAAAATAATCGAATATCTTATTGTCATTTGACAAATTCGAAAATAATTTAAAAGTAATAAATTCTAATAAAATTTAATATTTTTTTAAAAATAATGCGACAGGTATCAAAGCTACGTATTTATATAAAAGCGAGATTTCTCGTTTCCGGTACGCAACCTTAACAAGCTCCGATGAAATTTCGTGAATCGCTGCCTGGGAACGTACGTTTGAATGAACCTCTTCGATTTACGTCCTATAAAACCGAGCGAACGTTACGAACGTCATTACATAAATGCAGAGTTGTATCAGAACTTTCATTTGCATACAAATTATTGAGTAGGCATCGGGGCAGGATTTCAAATCCTGCGACGCATTAAATTTTACGCGCCAATTAGAAATGTCGCTGTTATTAATTGTCTATTATATGCTGATTATCGTGGCTCGTTGGTTGGGCACACACGCGATATTATAAATCGCGAGCTAAATCGCGTTAATTATTACACCGGGAACGTTGACCAGTTAACTGTGGAATTCAGTTGGAAAAACCTCTCGTTCCGCGCGCAGTAAAATAACAAAATGGAGCGTGTGCTCGTCGAGCGCAGGACGAACGCGCGTAGAGTATACTTTAACCCTTTGCGCTCCGGAGGCTCTAAGTCACCAAATGATTTGACACGGCGAAACTGTAAACTTTGATATTTAATAAATTTTGTATAATGCATCAATGTAAATATTGAAAGAAGATAGTCTTCCTTAATGCAAAGATAAATTCAATCTGAGAGAATGTCGTCTGTAATCTCATTAGAAAATATTGAATACTTCCGGTGAAAAACTTCTGGAGTGCAAAGGGTTGACGAAAGATCAAAGCGAAAGAGGAATTACATGTTCATGTGAAAGAATAACAGTTAACCCATTCGTTTGTTCTTTTCGCTGGCCGAAGCAGTGTCTCTCATCGTTAACTCCGATTCGAATGCCGACTTCGTAACGCTTCTTAACTTTTAACGCGCGTCTCGGTTATTTTCATTGCTTTTTTTTTACTGCGCGTGCATCTCCAGGATTATCTCCTGTTTTTCATACGACTTTCACTTCCATCGCGTTTTTATCCTTTCGTTTCATTTTCATGCGAGTGTTTCTCGTCCCGACAATTTATGCGTCGCTTTTTCTTATTCCGTATCTTCTTGATTTCTGTAACACGTTCACGTTTCGGCAGTCCAGACAGATGTTACAATTGACGTATAACTCGTCGGAAGAAGCAACTTCTTCTTTAGAAACTATGTATAATATGTAATAACAACGAAATTGCTAATAATTTTATTCGGCGGTTTAATTTATCTAATTTAACCTTTCGAACTCGATTTATTTTCAATGTTGCTGGGTTGGAAACTTGTATTTATTTTTCGGGGAACGAATTCAAGTATTTTATAAGATTTAATTTTTATAATCTTTTAAAGTGTGGCACTCTTTCAAACTATTTCCACCGTTCGAGTGCAAATAGTTAATAAGAAAGAAATCTAAGTATAAAAATTGTAATATTTTTGCTACGAAACGTGTCGACCCTTAGCACTCCACATAGTTTCGTGATATGTCAGCAACTCCTACAAAGTTTAATAACAGTCCTACTGAAAATTAACAATGTTATAACATTTCTTAGACCTTTAATTCCCTTCTCGGTACAAACTTTGTATATTTGGAAGATCTAATAATCTCAATACGTTGAATGCCGCACGATTTTATAGAGCAAAATACACAAAATGGAAAGAGCATACTATTAAATCATTTCATTGAATTCCGTTATTATTACTACATATTTATCTAGCTGAAAATCACCGCATCAGGCAGCATTGCCTATAATATACAAATATCTTCGAATAATTGTCGTTTAACTGAGTGAACTATAGTAATTCAATGTGGTTGCATGTTGGTGGCATTCAACGTGTTAAGGTAGTTTCCTTAAAACTCATTAAAATGTTCAATATTAAAACCGGTGCAATATTGGAGCCTACAGAGTTCAAAGTGTTAACGTTCGAAACTGTTTTCGATAGAATCGAGCCTATCACTAGTCACGACCGTCGACGAAAAGGTGCGTGACGTCACCGGCGAAGGTGTTGCATCGGAGTACACGCAGCAAAATCGGTTCGCAGCCTTCGTCTCTGAAGGTACCGGTCTTCGAAGCGCACCGAAGTAACGCCGATCGACAGGTATCGACGGCGAGTCTCCGAAGATTCGAGCGGAATAGAAATCAAGTCAAACGACCGCAGAATTGACAGACGAAATGGGAACATCTCGATCTATCATGCTTCGACACCTGAAGGAGCAATGGAAAGCCAGCCTGATAGACAGACTTCCACGTAATTTGATAAATAGGAGAAGATGGTAATCGTAAAACGAAAGTAATTACGGTATGAAATTAATTATTTCCTGGTACGCCGATCGCGTTTAATAAAAAACGAATTACCTACGAGAATATTATTCGGAAGACTGTGGGTATGTGAAAATGGAACATCTTAGATAAATCATTAGATTTAATTAGATTCCATTTATCTGGGATATCTATCTACTATTTATTATTATTACTAGTAGTAGTAGTAGTAATTTATCTACTATCTATTATTTTTATTAATATTATAGAAAGATGTTTCATGTTACAGGGTTGGGGACGAAACGCTTCATTATTTAATGTAAATTATATTTAACATAAACTATTCAATTATTCAATTGTAAATTGTTTAATGTAATACCTTTGTACTATAGGGAGATCACTTGATAGTTAGGTTGAGAAATTCGGTTGATCGATTAGTTCTCTTTTGTTCTCATCCGATTTTCATTTTATTTCCTAATTCCTAATATTTTCTATCGCTGATCTACTTACAAGTAACCAATGAAAACTACAGAACTGTAAATTAAACTTCTTACACCTCTGCGACTACTCGCTAGGCATCGAGTCATCTCCCAACTGTAATTGTTTTATTACTATGTAAATTGTGTTTGTAAATTATATTTAATACGAATTAAGTACAACCAACATTGTACGTTGAACAATTGACAAAAGTCGAAGGAGAATCCTAAGGGAAACCGTATCACTTCTCAAACGCGTATCACTTGAAAACAAGTGAGTTTACTGACCCACAGAAGGCAACAATACGAGATGAAATTTTTTAAGCAGCGTAGCATGATTTATTTATCGGTTTATTATTTCATTACTCGTCAGACCTAGTTTCTACAGATTATCATTTGTTTCTCTCGCTCCGAAATTCTTTGACCCCTTACTGCACCGTAGTAGGTCAGATATGTCACAATCTAAACTTTCATTTATTTCTTGTTATATGTATATAGTGTCATGATCATGCCGTACGTCATGCATTATATATTCGATACTTACATGTATGTACGTGAGAAACGTTTGCAATGAACGATCGAATGGTATCAATTCTAACTGAATATTCAAATGAAAAGAAGAGTAATGATCAGTTGATTTTTCGATTGCTAAGAATTTTGGTATTTACATAATATGCGGACTAGACTTTGTTTGTCAGGAATAAAGTATTAATAATAATGACAATAAGTATAATGAAATATTAATAATGTGTTATCACATGTTTTACATAATGACAATGAAATTAATCCTATAGATATCGTTATTAGGAATTATAAACTACATTATATTTAAGAATTCAATGACTTGTTTCAGTTTCATTTTTCTACTTTGTTTAGATTTATTGCATTGCAGAAAATGTAACTGAGAAGACCGCGTTAACCCTTTGGCGTGATATTTACTTTTGCTAAGTTCGTCTAATATTTTACCATCAATTTGGAAGATATGCAAGAAAATTTTCCATTCCACTTCAAGTAGAAATTCCATTTCAAGATAATACACCGATAATAGCAAATAGTTTGTTTTGATTCGTGGGTAATGAACAACATTGTTTGTTGCTAAATTAGTCTAGAAACCTTCACGAGTCTCACTCGTCATTGTACAAGGGTTTAACCCCTGACCTCATAACAACGTGCCAGACTCGTGGTGAAGATTTTCACCGTGATTCAACGAACATAAGTATTAGTTGATTCTAATTCAAAGTAAACATTATTCTTCTGTAATCAACTGTTATACTTAACCCCTTGCCCTATGATTTCTTTCTCCACTGAAATTAACACTAGGACTACCGAGCATTTGATACGATTGAAATGTAATCGCTACGAATATTGTAGTAACAGATTATTTTCGGTTTCTTTAGACATTCATTATAGTATTCAAGTGAAACTATTTATTTTCAAAGTCATTTTAAATATTCAACGCTTTGAAGATATATGAATAATTACGAAACTGAAACCAGTCAAAATGACTGGTTAACCCTTTGCATTCGAGAGGTGACTCTCACTCACCACTTGATTTCACACAATAAAACTATAAAATTTGACACTTAATATTACACTTCGTACAATGCATCAATTTGAGAAATATCCAAACAAAGTAGCTTTGTCGTTCAATATAAGTATGATTTCTCGTCGAGTTAGTTCCACAGAATATCCTCCCTATCTCATCAGAAAATCTTAAAATATTCCCAATCGAAAACTTCCGAGTGCAAAGGGTTAAAATATTTTTCCTTAAATCCAGAGAAGCAAATCATTGCAACATTTGACAGTCACTGCATGTGCCTTTCCATATGGACATTTTCCTATGCACTTCCTTCCTGCCCATTTCCTCCAAGTCGCCAAAAATTACCAGAGGGGGCAAGGAGGAAGTGTACGAACGCTAATCGCGTCGGTTACATGGACACCGATGAATAAAGTGCGGAGGGAGGCACGCGGAAAGAAAGGTGGGGACCAGGAGGTACAGAGAGCGAGGGAGAATCAACGTTTCACTTAACCATTTCATTACCTTCGGCCGAGCCGTGGCCGCAGTGCAAACGGAACCGCCGTGTGTGCACGGTGTACCCGATCCCGCTTCAGCAGACCAAGGGATTCGCGCGCGAAACATGACTGCCTGCTGCTCCTGTCATGGGCACGAGAGACGCTGAACAGTGCGCGACCCGGTGGACCTTGATTCGTTCTAAATGAATTCGACTCGGCCCGCGTCGGCAGCGTCCTGACTACGACTCCGTTTCGAAGGAGACAACAGTGTGTTGCCGCCCGAGACGCGCAACACGCCTCGAAGACAATCGCGAGCGACCGCAGCCTACACCCACGAGATCAATTGACCCGAGAGGATCGTATTCGCGCTAACCTATTTCGATTTTCTACTTCAGGTAGGATGAACACGCCGACGAGCTCGTATTCTTGACGTGTTCAACCCTTTTCAGTATGGAGTTCGTCTAGCGATTGGGGGTTTCAGGATTTTTGGAAGTATGGAATTTAAATTAATGTGGAGTTGGTTTAGTGATTGGGGTTCTGGAATTTTTGAAAGTATGGAACTGTAGATTACTATGGAGTTTTAGGATTTTTGAAGCTATGGAACTGTAAGTTAACGTGGAGTTGGTCTAGTAATTGGGGGTTTTTGGATTTTTCAAAGTATACGACTATAAATTAATATGGAGTTCGTCTAGCGATTTGGGGTTTTAGGATTTTTGGAAGTATGGAACTGTAAATTGATGTGCAGTTGGTCTAGTAATTGGTGGTTTTTGGATTTTTCAAAGTATACGACTATAAATTAATATGGAGTTCGTCCAGCGATTGGGGGTTTCAGGATTTTTGAAACTATGGAACTGTAAATTAGTGTGGAGTTGGTCTAGTAATTGCGATTTTCGAATTTTCGAAACTATAGAACTGTAAATTGATGTTCTACTATTTAATGTAAATTCTATTTAATATAAATTCTTCAATTATTCAATTGTAAATTGTTTAACGTTGCAATATTGTTGTGTAGGGAAATCACTTGATTGAGTTAGGGAGTTACTTAAGTTATTAAGTGAAGGCTAGATTGAGAGATTCAGTTGATCGATCAGTTTTCATTTGTTCTCACCCAATTTTCATTTTATTTCCCAATTCCTAATATTTTCTATCGCTGATCTACTTACAAGTAACCAATTAAAACTATAGAATTATAAATTAGACTATACACCTTTGCGACTACCCGCTAGACATCAGGTCATCTCCCAACTGTACTTGTTTCATTACTATGTAAATTGTATTTGTAAATTACATTTCATACAAACTAAGTACAACAACACTGTACGTTGAACAACTGACAAAAGTCGAAGGAAAACTGTGAGAGAAGCCATATTACTCGTCAAACGCACAGTTTCTTGACCCACATAGGGCAACAATAGTATCAGATGAAATTTTTGAAGCAGTATAGTGTGATTTATTTATCGGTTTATTACTTCATTCGATCTCGCAATCTCGACGTGTTCCACCGTTTTCACTGTAATATTCTTCGACAAAACCGTTATCTTCAAATGATATTCATTTCAAGAACTATTATTACTCATAGTACTAAAGAAATAACAAAATTATAAATAACCTGTTAAGTGGAGAAGGGATCAGTTGCTAACCTAGTATTTTGCGACACTCGATGATACATTTTCTTGTCCGCGTATTGGTATAAATATGATCTAATTGTGGTTTGTAATACCTAGATAGTATATCTTCAAGATCCTCAGTAATTTCGCAACCCCTTTTTTCATTTCATTCCGCCTAAGATTAACTTCCAAATACTAAAATAAACATCGAGCAACGATACAGAATTAAAAGATCAAAAAGATCATAAATACCTTTCTCTTAACCGTGAAAAATGAATAAATTAACGCAAATCACATGCAGTAACAAAAAAAGTAAACAAAGGTTAACATAACTACCAAACAGCTCAAAATGTCCTATTCCCGATTTCTTTTCCTTTGGCAATGATTAAAAAGTCAACACGATTCTCGGAGAAATTAAAAGAAATTGGTTCAGTGATAAGCAAATATAATTATAAATTCACACTAGATATTGAATTTTTTAAACGTTATTATTCTCTATTCTTGAAACACTAATTTCTATGTGAATAAACGTATAATTATAAATAATAATATTGAACATAAAAATATTGGAACAGTATACCTATGTAAATAAACATATACTCTTCTGGGAACGATAGAATGAAGTATAGAATAAATCTCCATAAATCTGGTGTTAATGAGAATCTCAATAGACGCACTGTTAGAGTTTCCATCGGTAGATTTCAAAAAATCAATTTAATTGCTTTGTAGTTCTAGCGTTAGATGCATTCTATGGGAGTGTCGATCGTATTACATGTTTCCATGTAATTAGTTTTTCGTCATTCACGGTGAATAGTGTTTTAACAATTATTTGTGATTTCCATTTTACATTCCCCCGGGTTTTACCGCGTAACAGACCACTATTTACTCGAGAAATACTGTATGATTTACATAATGATAGTTCCGATAATTATCCGTACACGAAAGTGCAGATGTTTAATGGTATGTTATTTATATAGTTCGGTGAACCTACAAAAAGTCGCCGGACTCGATGGGAAACGTGGCTTCGGGAAAACTGGCTCGGTTAGGATAGTGAAAACGTAAAATAATAGAAAGCGAGAGTTTATGCTTCAATTATTCCAGGAATTAACTGGAAGACACCCGAGGTTCCGCTCGAATTTTTAGCGTTTCGTAATCGGAACCTGAGCTTTCAACGAGGAAAATAATTAAATCTTTTCCCTATGATTTATTCCTCAACTATGATCGATACAACTATCAACTCTTTGAACTCGAGGGCTCCGGAGCAGAGCCATTTAAAATTTATCATTGCAAACTGTGAAACTTTATTATTAAATATGTTATAACATTTATATCTATAATCGATAAGAAACAATGAAATATATCTATGACTCGTCTTTTCATACGCGTATCGTTTATTTATACGTTAATACGCTTTTTCATTTAAAATTGCTTGGAATTGCTGGTAATACCAATGAGAAAAAGTTTCGAGTGCAGAGGGTAAAATTTATTGTAAATTTAATAAATCTAATATTAAATTTATTGTAAACTTAATAATAAATCTAATATTAAATTTATTTTAAACTATATTAAAATTATTTCATAATTGAGTAGATTAAGACATTATATCGTACATTATATTTTCCATTTCTTTGTTTCCCATTTAGAAACGAAAAAGTAAAAGATTCTTTTTTATTTCTTATTATTAATGTACAAGTATTTTTATTTCTTGACTGTCAAATAGGAAATGATTCGTTTCGTCTCAGTCTACCGTATCGTTAAAACACACATGATTTTTAATATTCAGAAGGCAGATGTTTACACGTAACTCACGACAAACTAAGGAAAAAAGAAACAAAAGTTCAAGTAAATTGGATAATGATTAGCTGTTACTTCTTCTCAGAACATGAAATTGCATTTCGTGAATCGGGGAACAATGGAGTTGCGATATAGCATCGTTTCGCTTGAGATAAGCATAATTATTTGTACACTGTGCATACTCGATCAGTTGGGCAGTGGGACAAGAAGACGCGAAGCGAAGGACAAGGACGTTAAAATGAAATGATGTTACACGTTCAGTGATTCTAAAGAACGAAATATGACACAGAAATCGAACAAATAGTAACAGTCCCTTTTATTGCTGCACATTATTCGTAATGTTAGTCATTTTTATTGTCTCTTAATTATTAGTCTTGCTCATCATTCTGAACTACTTATGTTATTAGTCATATTAATTATTTCCTATTAATCATATTACACTTCGTACTATTCCAAAGAATACAGCCCTTTTCATTCTTTATTATGCCTATTATTTATTCCTCATGTTAACTTCAAAGACAGAAAACAATTCATTAACTTTAATTATCGTTTGTCCTCTGAAACTATGGATTTACGTAGAATCAAAAATTAATATTTCGTATTTAATAGGAAAGCAATGTAATAATCTATAATCGATTATTGAATACTTCTTAATCGAACTTTTCAGTGAAAGTTTATTTTAAGTATAATTGTATTTTTGACAATCGTTAGATTCTAATAGGAATATGATTTCGATGAATTCTAATTTCTTTGAACGCTTTTATACAATATTAGTATCTACTTCCGTGATGAAATTAACACGCAATTGTGTCAACAATTAACGTGCGTTCAATAAAACATGTATCCAGTAAAGCCATTAAAATATGTGCAGAACCTGTCAGGAAATAAATTGCCGAGGCAACAAACAATACATCACAGGGATAAATTTAAGTGGAGAAAATAGTTCCTTTTCAAGGTTCGATGCTATTTTAGTGCTGTAAAAGTTAATTGCAAGTGAAATCAATACAAATGAACTTTCCTTTAAATACCTGTCCGTATACCTCTTGTAATTAGCTTGAATTACAAGAAAGTTACTTGCTACAACTGGTAACATACTTTTCAAGGTTTTCAAGTAGCAACGGACAGTTTGAGATAAATTAACCCGATAAACTGGTAAAATAATTTAAAATATGTTTTAGATTATTACGCTGTTATCATTATACATGTCCCTCATTATCACTATTGTTTATAAATTTTAGCTGTTAAATGTTATCTCATTCTATCACGTTCTTAACGTGTTTTGTATGTATAAATTGTATAAAATTATGTGTTTCTTTATTGTTGCTCGTTATTTTACAAATACACAAATATATAATTATTTCAGTTACAATTTTTCTAATAATTTCGTTTGTTGCGGTAAAATTAATGAATCTATATACATATATGTACGAATAAATTCTAAACTCCAAATTTGTATGTATATATAAATTGTAAATAAATAAAATAATGTGGAATAACGAGAAATAATAAAGAAAGGAAAAATTACAAAATAAATGTAACCTGTCATTAAAAAAATAGTCATTTAATGTCACGTATGTCAGAAATGTTTTGACTCAGGGTTTACCAGTGTTTTTCACGTTACGCTGGAATTATTATTGTCAACTTCCACGTTCAATGAAGAAAGTATCAATTGGGTTTTAGGAAGAAAATCTAAAGAGGTTAATAACCGAGATAATGATAAACCAAAGCAATAACTGCCTGAGAATAGTTTTATCGGTTTAAGGATTTCCGCTCGAAAATGAACAAAGGGGGATGTTATTCGCGGAAGGAGGAAAAAAATATTGAATAATAGAAACCACGCTATTTTGATTGCAGTTCAACCGCAAAGAATAGTTTATTTGAGTTTCCAACTTTCACGGGAATTAAGTGCATCGCCACTGCGCGTATTCTTCGCGGATGTAAAGATGTTTTACGACCGTAGCAACATTCCCTTAGATAAACAATAATTTCTAAAT